GGTTCAGGGGGGGATGTGTGCTCATCCCAACCCGAAAAAAAAATATTCCCGATCAAATCTACAGCGGGAACAAATCGCGATAAGCTTGCTGTGTGACCACACCCTTAGTTTGAAGCTTGATAATACATTATGCCAACTGCTTTTCTTCCAGATTATCAGAGAATCACCCCAGCCTCCACTCAGAGTTTCTCTCTGATTTCTTTTGTCACCAGATTCTAGTTGAAGGCCAGTCCTTATTTCACTGCATTTTAAATCATGGATCTAGAAAAGTGTTACTATTTTGGACTGCACTATAAATCACCTCCCTCCAATGATTTTCCCTCCCTCCAGTGGTTTTCCCTCCTGAGAGTTTGAAATGCATGCCCATGAGGGCAAATACACATTTTAAAACCTGCAGTGAAAGGCAATTTGCCTCAGAGAAACAGTGGGAAGGAAAATATTTAAACATCCTTCTCCCACCCACCTATACACACTAAACTTCCCCCTCCCAGAGTTGCTTTGCTTTTTAAAGAACAGCTTTAGACCTCTACCATATGCATTAGTATAGAACAGGCATGTAGTGCCTCATCTTGGAACTCTGCAGGCTTTTAAAAGTGGTATGCAGACTCAGAAGTCACACATTCTGATTTCAGTACACTGAACTTGGAACTGTGATGTTTCTTTGCACTTAAGAGGATTGTTTGGGCATTTTGTGAAACATGTGGGCAAATTCTGCCCCAAAACTTCCCTCTTCTACAGTGGTTTCAATATGGCCTGGACCAAGACTGTGCCACCTGCATTAGTATCTTAACCCTGAATCCATACACAACCTGATAAGGCTGTTACTGCACATACAATAAATTTTGGTCTCTCAGGAAATAAAATGCTCTTTTAAAATGGGTCCATGGGGTCACAAAGAGTTGGACTCGACTGTGTGACTGAACAACAAAAACATATCTAGTCCCAAACAAAGAAGCAGGACATCTGTTAATGTTGGCCACCTGCACATACAGTAAATTTTGGTCTCTCAGGAAATAAAATGCTCTTCTAAAATGGGTCCATGGGGTCATAAACAGTTGGACTCGACTGTGTGACTGAACAACAAAAACATATCTAGTCCCAAACAAAGAAGCAGGACATCTGTTAATGTTGGCCACCCTTAACAGAGATTTCTGTATAAAGAGGACATCCACATTCAAGCTTGGACTGTGGTTCTTCAGTAAGTAGTAATGAAGCAAACACCCCCATCGCTTCTCGGCCTTTTGGCTGGGAAAGCATTATCTACCTAAGTCATCTGTTCTTATCAGTTTAATATCTGATACGTCCTCTATCTGAAGACTATATATTAAATGGATTTTTGGGACTGGGAGATGGAATAGGGGCTTGAAAAAAAAAATGAAGCAAACACCCTTATGTTTAAATTGCAGGTTGGTTGCAGATTGTGAACAATACCCTCAAACACTGAAAAAAATGGTTAATTTTTCCAAATAGTCAACAGTGTTCTAAAGTGTATTGCAACGATTTTGTGCACAAGTGTTTTCATGCAACTTGTCTACAGCTGTTCTTATTCTCTCTTTTCCATCTACAGACTGCTCAGCCCATCTAGTCAAGAAAAATAAAAATAATTGCTTTTCTCAGTTGTCCCAAGTCAGATTTGAGTGAATGGAGGGAAAGTGATGTGGTTTATGTCTCTAGTATTCCACCCATGCCCAGTTTACCTATCTGACTCCCAGAACAAAGTGTGTTTGTTTCAATCCAGTGTTCTAAAATGGATCGAAATACTTTGTGCATTCTTGTATTGTCTAGCTAGTGTGTTTAGCAGCATGTTGAATGCTGCCACAGTGCAGATGCAAAACTACATGAAATACTACTTGTTTTAAATGGCTAACAAACAAATCATCAATGCAATCATACAACACACTTGACTTGAGGGAAAATGGGTGCTACAAAAGAGGTAACTTTGATTTTCAAACTTATTTGCAAAAATAAAATAGACCTTAAGTAGCTTCCAAGTGCCACCTTGCTTATATTAGCAACAGTAATAACGGACATCAGAAGGAGCAGGATTCCAGAAACAGAGCTAATGAAAACCTGTGGAACTTTGATTTTCAAACTTATTTGCAAAAATAAAATAGACCTTGGCAATAAGTAGCTTCCAAGTGCCACTTTGCTTATATTAGCAACAGTAATAATGGACATCAGAAGGAGCAGGATACCAGAAACAGAGCTAATGAAAACCTGTGGAAAATGGAACTGGGGAAGGTGAAAAGCAGTGCTTGTCTGAACATATCTGGAATAACATATATGAGCTCCACCTAGTGCTGCCAGATCTGGGTTGTGAACTACCTGGAGATTTTGGGGCTGGAGCCTGGGAAGTCCAGGGTTTAACGAGGGGAGGGACCTCAGCTGGGCATAATGCCATGGATTCCACCCTCCAAAGCAGCCATTTTCTCCAGGAGAGATGAACTTAGTCATCTGGAGATTAGTTGTAATAGCGGGAGATCTCCAGATGCTACCAGGAGGTTGGCTACCCTAGCTACACTGGATATTATTCTCAGTCACTCTAGCACTCCACTATGGTTAAAAATAATAGTTTTGTGGTATTAAAACTGTATGTTTTCCTATTGTCTTCAAATGTATTTGGGTTGCACCTATTCTGCATTAAAATATCCAAAATGATAGGAAAACCTATACTTTGTGAGTAGATAAATGTTGTCATTGAATGTATTGATATAATTACACTTTGAGGGCAACTAGGATGGAGAACCATGGTGGTGGACTGGAAATTATGCTCAGTGAACCAACATTAATTGTTGACCATCGGAAAATTCATTTATAGCCTCTTTATTCCCTGATCATTAGGAAAACTTTCAATTTGTGTTCAAAGAGTCTCAGGTTACTGAAGAAGGTACTGGATTATATAGATTTATAGAATGTTAGAGTTGGAAGGGACCTTACAGGCA